GACGGTGACATACTAGGTATGGTTTAGCTCAAAACGCTAATTCCTACCTTATGGATTTTAATTGGTGAACAGCTTTACCTGTTCTATCAATTATATGGATTTTGTGGATTGTATGCACCAGCATGGGACGGTGGCATACTAGGGACAGCCTGATTCAAAATGCTCAGTCTTACCTATTTTGGAATAAGGGTACGAATTATAAAAACATAATTCTCCTTATATAAGTCTGTGCGGTTGAATAAGCTGAACGACTTATTGGATCTCTTATATAAGTCTGTGCGGTTGACTAAGCTGAACGATTTATTGGATTTCCTATGGATGGATATGAATGGATTTAAATATATTTTTATAGTACCACGAGATGAGCTTGAGTTTCAGACTCGTTGGTTACGGTGTGTATATGCAGTAGGATGCGTAGCTGGATATGAGGTTGAGGTGTACCCTGTTAGGTCTAGGTACTCATGCCCACCTATGGGTGCGTTTTCGCATGTTGCCTTCTATTCAGGTTAAGACCCTCTCCATAGTCTAGGGAGAGTTCTGTAGTGTGAACATACATACGTACGGACTATTAGCTATTGTTAAGTTGGTTAGAATGTATATGCGTATCGAGTCTGTACTTGGATTGTAGTAGGTTAGAACTTGTTCGTGGGCCTGACCCACCTCTATTTTTCAGGTACTCGTCAGTTCGAGACTTAAACTTGATCGTGCTGAGCAGAGACTACTACTCACTCTTTCGATAACGTAGGACTTTTCTTCATGGTTTATTTTGGATGTTCTTTAAGTAGATTCCATTTCTGTTTGGATTATTAGGGGTCTATTAGAGATGGATTCCCGAGTTGTATTAGAATTGGAGAAATTGGATGTATCAGATTAATTCTTATTTATAAAATTTTATTCTGAGGTTTTCAGCTTTAGATTATTATTCTAGTTTCATTTCTGCAGTTTTATTTATTCCTGTTTTCTTAATTGCATTCTGTATTCGTTTATTGCTAATTGGTTTGATATCCTCGGGTAATCGGGCGTGGGCCTGGCCAACCCGCATCCGAAAATCCGAGGGTATCATAATCTTCATAAGCCAAATCTATCAGAAAGAATGATAAAATAGGCCATTGAGCTGAGCTCCTTCGACATAACATACGAACCTCGAATGGCCATAAAAAGACAAGCGGTGGCTGATTTCTTGCTGGAATGTGATGTAAAAGATATGGAAGAAAACCTCGGAAGTTCATCATGAAAGTTTTTCGCTGATGGTTCTTCAAATCAAATGGGGGCAAGTATAGGGATCAAACTGCTGACTCCAGAAGGCACTACGCTAAGCCAAGCGATCAGCCTTGAATTCAGAGCAACAAATAATGAAGCAGAGTATGAAGCATTACTGGCAGGAGACTGGCTAATGAACTAAAGGTTATGAATCTAATTACTTTTAGCAACTCGCAGCTGATCGTTAGGCAGGTGGCTAGGGAATATGGTACCAAAGATGAGACAATGGAGGCCTACCGTTCTGCCATTATGCACAAAACAAAAAAAATTGATCAGATCAAGTTTGTCCAATTGCCAATAGAGTATAATGAGGATGCCGATCGGCTAGCTTGTAGTGCGTCAAGCTCCGAAGAAACGTTGGCAAGGGTGATTCCAGTTGATGTGCTAACTCATCCCTCTATCTTTGAGGAACCACTCGGCTCGGATCCACGGCAAGTAAATGTCATACCGTATGAGCCAAGTTGAATTGATCCAATTATGATTTTCATACGGGATGGTACGCTGCTCGAACAGAAAGACGAAGCAAGAAAGATCAGATCAAATGCTGCAAAGTATGCCATTATCCATAATTAATTGTATAAGAGATCTTTCTCGGGTCTATATTTGAAATGTGTTACCCCTTCAGAGGCTGGGCATATCATGCGAACGATCCATGAGGGTGTGTGTGGCAACCACTAAGGAGGGAGATCTCTGGCGCACAAAGCGATGACGCAAGGATGTTTTTGGCTGAACATGTCGCGTGATGCAGAAGAATTTTCTAGAAGATGCAATAAGTGCTAAAGGTTTAGACCACTGATCCACCAACCACCTGAACATTTGCACGTAAAGGCCAAACCATGGCCTTTCGCGCAATGGGGGATGGATGTGGTTAGCCCTCTGCCGACCGCGAGATCACAGAACAAATACGTCTGCTTGCAACAGATTATTTTACCAAATGGGTAGAAGCAGAACTGTATCCCAGTGTAACCCAGACTCAAGCAAGACGCTTTATCTAGAGTAATATCATTTGTCGCGTTGGCGTGCCAAGATCGATCGTTATGGACAATGGGACTAATCTTGACAGTAAGCAAGTAAGGGACTTGCTAGAAGAATACGAAATCAATCAAAAGTTGGCAGCGGTTAGCCATCCGCAGGTGAATGGTCAAGCCGAAATTACGAACAGAACAATCTTTGCTTGTATTAAGAAGAAGCTTGAAGACAAAAAGGGTAAATGGTTAGACCAGCTTTCGAACGTCTTGTGGGCTTATAGAACAACCCATAGACGACCAACCGGATAAAGCCCATTTTCTATGGCGTATGGCACCAAGGCAGTAATACCAGTTGAGCATTTAGTTCCGACTGTTCGAAGTTTGGCATGGAATCAAGAGCAGAACGATAGTATATTGAAATTTAACCTTGATTTTCTGGAAGAGAAAAGAGATGCAACAGCAATAAAACTCGCGTCTTATCAGTAAACACTTGTGAATAGCCACAATAAAAAGGTGAAGCATAGAGAATTTGCACCTGGTGATTTAGTTCTGAAGAAGAAGGTGGGAATTGTCAAGAAGATGATGTCACCCTGGGAAGGTCCATACAGAGTTGCAGGGGCCATAGGAAAGGGAGCATACAGTCTAGAGACCATAGCTGGAAGATTGGTCAATATACAATGGAACGCCACATCTCTAAAAAGGTACTACCAATAAAGATTGAATTCTATTCTGAACGATGTTCATTTAGAATTGTGCTCTTGCAAATGTGTAGATTCGCTAAGATTTATAAAAAAAAGAGTTCATTTTGTTTCAAAAATTGATTGAACAAAGAGTAATAAATAAAAAGTAAGTGACATTCTAGCCGAGCGCTAAGCACTTAGCCAAATAAGTGACAAATGGCACTATGAACTGAACACCAAATACTTGCAAAAAAAAAAAAGAGTCAAGTGGCAAGTGGCATTTTAGCAAAGCGCCAAGCACTTAGCCAAGTAAGTGGCAAATGGCACTATGAGCCGAACGCCAAAAAGTTGCACAAAATAAAAAAAGTCATGTGACAAATAGCACTATTAGCCGAACACTAAACACTTGCCAAAATAAACGTCAGTTGAAAAAATCAAATTGTCATGTCATTTAAGCATAGGCTAAAGTATAGATACTTGGCAAAACAGAATTGTCATTTCATTCATCACTGCTAAAGAAGCTCATGATATACAAAAAGTGATATTGGAATGAAATGAAGCAAGTACAGAAGCCAGCAGAACTCTAATATACCACATCCTCTCCTGTGCCTGATCCATTACCCGTTTCACCATTATTGGCTGCCTCATCATCGCCAGCTGTTTCATTATCTCTTTCTCCATCATTGATCGTTTCCTCACCTCTGGATGGAGAGTCAAAATGAATGACTTCCTTATTTGGAAGAGCTCTATCAGTGGATGCAATGGTTGGAGGAATAATAGTAGTGATGGGAGAGATGCTTAGAGGGCGAACGGGTGGGATAATCCCAGAGGTTACAATCTCATTGCACTCTATTAATATATTTTCAGCAGGATCAGGAAGTGGATCCTTGTAAACGCTCGCGTGTCAATATCTAGAGAGGCGTCGAGGTCATCTGGACCTGCATAGGAGCTTGATTCACCTTCGGGAAGAGATCGGTCAATAAAACCATCTCTATACCCTTCGGCATATCTGAAAGCCCCAATCTGAGAAAAATGATCATGAAGAGCCTTCATGCCACTATCAACTCTACCTTTGACATTCAGCAAAACAATACGTTTATTTGAGAATTTCTCTTCCGAAACAGAATGGGTCAGCCGTTCAGAAACTAGAGTGCGTTGAAGGTTCCCCTTCTCAACCTTCAGAGCGTCTCTTTCTGTCTACATAACATTTCTTTCTGTTTTTAAGGAGTCCAGCTCATCATGAAGAGAGTCTCACTCGTTCTTTAAGGCATCCCTTTCAGCTTTCAGAGTATCCATTTCTTTCTCTGAATCGGTTAGCTTGGCTTACAGTTCTATATTCTTTGTTTCAATTATCTTCATGCTCTTGACAGATCTATCAAGCCCAAGGGAGGGGGTCTTGACTCTCTTATTTGCCAGTTCGAGATTCCTCTGGAAAGTGATCATCCCGAACAAAGTCTGCACAAAGACACAAGCGTACGTATACAGTCAATATAAGTATAAGATGATCTGAATGAGAATAATGATTGAAAGTTAGTCCAAAAGGCATAGAAAAGCTACTTCAACAGCAGCGGCAGGAAATCGGTTGAACATGTCATTGAAGGGCATTTCTTTCTAGAAGTGTAGATCTTGTGGAGTCCAAATGCCCTTGTAAAAAGCAAAGGCAGTAGCAGCATCCTTAATCACAAAGTCTGTAGGAGCCATAACTGACCCATCCTCCCTTTTGAGTACAGGGCACCAAGGAACTACTGCTGGGGAAAAAATGGAGGTTCTGGCTGACTCACCTTCCGGAATGGATACTTGAGGTGAAGGCAGAGTAGTGGTGACCCTGTAAGTCCTAGCTCTTCGAGTTAAAAGAAGGTCAACCTGGTTGGAACCACTTTCAGGTTGGGGTCTTTTGCCCAAGCTTTTCTTCGAAGTAACTGTTCGGACGAGAGAAGATCCTTCAGTGTTCGGAACGGTGGGAGGAGGAACTTCGTTTGGAGCCTCAAAAGGGTTGTCGTTCAGCAATATAGGTGGAACTTCGATGGAAGTGGATACAGGATGTTCAGAAGTAGGCTGATCAGGGTTCTGAGCCATAACTGGAGCAGTCTGGATGGCCACAGAGACAACTGGGGTAGTTACAGGGGCGGTTGCAGAAAAGGCTCTCCTTCTGCTGAAAGTGGGAATTTGGATGTGTTCCATAGTGCCACCAAGGACTGATATGTCTGAAAGGTTGTCCGGAGTAAACAGATCGGAAGTAGAGGGAATGTCGTTCAGATGATTAAGTCTAGCCCTACAAATGCTAAAAACCAATTCATCGTGAGGAATGTGAAGGTAACGGCAAAGGAAAGTACAGAAACGAGGAAGACAAATTTCACAAGGGCAATCGTTCTTGTGCTTCTTATGTTTCTTATATAAGGGGATAGAACACTCTCCAAAAGTGATCGCGATAGGGAAAGTCTGAGTGAATGGTGTTTGCCAAGCCCCACTGACCCCAATCAAGTTACTTTTTCCAACCCTTTTTAAAGGCGAGTTTGTCCGTGCATATAGATCGTTTTTCAAGGGGAAAGAAGTGGAAGTACATGTCATTCGTTCTGATTTTAGTGACTCGATAGCAAAGAAGAAGATCTATGATGTCAAAATCTAGATTTCTATCACGATTTAAGATCAAGAGAACTGATATCACCCTAAGGAAGTTGGGGTTAACTTGAAGAGGGCAAAGCCCTAATTTGTTAAAAACATAACAGAAGAACGGGTGCAAGGGAAATCTAATTACATTTAGGTGAAGAACAGAAAAGAGGATCTCTCCAGGAAGAAGACCCTTACCGGATCTCTCATCTAGGCCCTCGGGATAAACCCTAATGGAAACATCATTAAGGATTTCGTTCATCAAACGAAGAGCCTCTAAGTCTGGAGCCATTATAATCGTGGAGGAAATTCCCAATTTTAGGGTTCTCTCTTTTAAGAAAAGTAGTAAAAAGCAAAATCCTAGAAAAATAACGAGGGATTGGAACTAACCTTAGAAAGGAGGTCTGCAAAGTACACCGCAGCAAAGTGAAAGATGATGAATCGCAAAGGGAGAGTTCACCGGAGAAGACTGGTAATTGACAAAGATGATTAGAAAAGATAATGCTCGAGGATGAAGATGAGAAGGATAGAAGAAAACCTAAATGAGGAAAGTTTGGATTTTTAAGGGGAAAATGATTCAATATCCAAGGAACCATGGCAATAATGGTTCATCGAATCTCAAAGCGTGGGTCTCTAAGCCAACCGTTCGCTTCCCCACATCACCACCTCGAGCAGTCTTGTCATGATTAAATCTCTTCGATAATCTCACCCCAATTAATTAGGGAGAGATTATGGGAGCAGGTGAAGAAACCAAAAATGACCTGGGTGGGGCGCAACCCAAATTACTAAAGGATGAATCGAGCAAGAGCAGTAGACCCGATCAAGTGGAATCCCATCAAGCCCAATCTCCATTAGACAGACTCCAGGCCCAATCTACAAAAGAAGGAAGCAAGTCCATGTATAAAGAAAAAGTCCAGTAAAATGGCCCAGCATGATGAGTAAGATAGGAAGCTTCTAGAATAATTGTAAATCCCTACAAATAGAAGGAAAAGAGAGGGAAAAAAGGTTGCGATATTTTGAAGTGTAAAACTAATCTTTCCAAATAGAAAGAGTTTGTTTCTCGCATCTTCAGAAGTGGACTGCACAAAACTCACCACTTTGATGAGGGGACTCTGTAAAATAGATCAGGTAGTTGGGTTGTTTAATGCAATAGGGGCGAAATGGTTTCAACCCAATACAATTACTTGTGGAACAATTATAAATGGGTTGTGCAAAACGGGGAACACTAGGGCTGCAATAGAGTTGGTTAAGAAGATGGAAGAGAGAAATTGGGAAACCAATGTCATTGCTTATAACATGATCATTGACAGTCTTTGTAAGGACAGATTGGTAGCTGAGGCTTTTGACTTCTTTTCAGAAATGATACATAAAGGCTTTTTGCCAAATGCTTATACTTACAACTCCTTAATCCTTGTCCTATGCAATTCAAACCAATGGAAAGAGGCTACAAGGTTATTGAATGAAATGGTGAACCGAAAAATCGAACCGAATGTAAGATCCTTCACTATAATGGTGGATGCACTTTGTAAGGTAGGGAAGGTTGCAGAAGCAGTAGAAATAGTTGAAGTGATGATTCGAAGGTATAAGGAGCCTAATACAGTCACGTACAGTGCACTGATAAATGGATATTGTCTGCAAAGCAAATTCCATAAGGCAAAGAAGGTACTTGATTTGATGGTTGGTTGGGGTTGTACCCCTAATATTCATAGCTATAACATCTTGATTAATGGGTATTGTAAGAAAAGAAGAATGACCGAGGCTCTAAGACTTTTTCATGAAATTTCTCTGATGGGATTGGTTCCTAATACTATTACTTACACCACTTTTATAAGTCGTTTTTGCCATGCAGGAAAACCTCTAACCGCATAACAACTTCTGAACCAGATGCAAGCCCATGGCCAACATCCTGATCTTATGACCTACTCCACTTTGTTAGATGGATTGTGTAAGAACCAATGTCTTGCTGAGGCAATGGCCTTATTTCCAGAGATGGAAGAAAGTGGACTGCATCCTAATATTGTGGTTTACAACATCCTTGTTGATGGTATGTGCAAAACTGGAAGCATTAGAGGTGCAAGGGAATTCTTTTATGGTCTTTCTTCCAAAAGGTTGCAACCTGATGTTCACACATATAATATCATGATCAATGGACTCTGTAAGGGTGGGTTGTTAAGCGAAGCAAACATGTTACTCAAGAAAATGGAAGAGAGTGGTTGCTCACCCAATGGTATCACTTACAATATAATTGTGCAGGGATTTCTTCAAAACAATGAGACACTAAGGGCAATGCAACTTCTTCAAGAAATGGTTGAGAAGGGATTCTCTACTAATGCAGGTATTATGACCCTGTTATTGAATATATCAAATAATAGTGGATTGGATCAGTCGGTTTTGGAGATGGTCAATAAGTTTCTGTGATTTCTATTCGGTTTTCACATTAGGTGAAAGATTCATAATTTGTCCACCTTGCAGTGTGGTGTATGTATGGCCTATTGATGCTTGCATCAGTGTCTTCTCCATATTTTGGGAGTGAAATTATTGTTCCATGAGAAGTACGAAGGAGAGAACCTGAGTTGGGTGATGTTGGGGAACTTGAGAAGAATGGTGGAGGGATTTGTGTAAAGCTGGTTGACTAGATGAGATAAGGAAGGTGGCTTGGTGAATCTGAAGAAAGCAAAGTTGCTGCTAAAGCATATGGGAATGATCCCACAGAGAGACAAGTTTCAAAGCTCTAAAATTTACCAAACAGAGTGTGCTTATCTGCTTTGCCTTGGTCTGTCGGGATGTTTCAAGAATGGCACCTAATCAACTTCAGTTTCCTTTCTTGTCTGCACTTTGTACGGTGAGGGTATACCTTGCTTACCTATGTATTTAATTGCTTGATGTTAATATTATAACCATCCCATTAAGGGGGAGAAAAAAAAAAAGACACCTCTGTTAAATCCATCAGACCTTTTAGAGGTTATTTTCAACCAGAAGAAATTGTTTTGAACTCTCAGATGCACCCTTTATTTTATATTCAGTTGTTTATAGAAGTTGCTATTTGCACCGTCAGATATTTGATTCCATTATCTTTGCTTACAAACAACCCTGAATTGATGCTTTGGGTAGTGAACTTGTGGAAGAGATTTATTTATTTATTTATTTATTTTTTTGAAGTTTACTTGTGGAAGAGTTACTTCCTTCTTTGGTCTATAAGGTCTTTCTTGACAAAATATTATGCCAGACTAGTTGAATACTATAGGCTCATGGGACTATGTCATGCAACTTTCAACTGTCAACCAAGACTTCATAGCTAGACTCTTGGACAAGAGTCGGATACTAATTGTTTATATGATGTGATGTGTTCTATAGCTAGTGTTCTATAGCTAACCAACAGGCCTGTGGCTTAGCGATATAAGGCCCCTACATCCCAAAGGCAGGTTAAGGGTTCAAACCTTAGTGGAAACAGTATGTGTGAGCACCAACTAGGGAAAAAAAAAAGTGTTTTATAGCTAGACTCCATAGTGTTGCAGGTAAAACCTGGCAAATCAAAATGTTGAGTAGTTCTATTGGTCATGTTATTTGCTTATGTTATTAGTCCTCTCTCATTGTTAAACTAACTTTTTTTTTTTTTTTTGGGGGGGGGGGTTTAAAATAATAAGTGGATGCCTTATATCAAGGGGGCCATTATTCTTCTTTGGCAAGTCAATTTTGTAAAATCGGATGTTTGAACATGTCCACCAAAAAAAATAATAGTAATAATGGAGGAGGAAAACATGAAAGAAAAAAGAATTGGTACATGTCTAAATTCTCCATTTTGGAATTTGAAGATGGACTACGTTTACTTGTGGCATGTGTTGAATGGAAAGGGTTGGATTTTAATAAAATGGAAGTTGCCAAAGAAAAGAATTAATCATTTCATTAACATCACCTAATGGCTTAAGTTTTTAGGTCGGTTCAGAAAGAACCCAACCAAGTTACACTTGGTACGAGAGTCAGGCATATAAGAATTAAAACTCATTATCGTGAATGTAATACTTACTACAACAAAGTACTTTCAGTCCATCTCTAGGTTGTTTTTTTTTTTTTTAATTCTAAAACCTGCCACTCTCTTTTACTATGTCTCAAAGTTTATATGCCTCTCTCTCTTTCTCTCTACTCCTCCAAAGAGAATTTCCACATTTCGCTTTAAAATCATCTGATCGACAAGGAATGTTTCAAATTCTCTTCAATCCTCACGACACTGTCCATATCCAAAATGACATCACTTGTTCTGCCTAAATTCTCTCTTTCACTAACACCCTCCACACCCTTTTTGTTTCTCTTCTTCAATTTTCTTTGTAACAAGCACACAAGACACACATATATAAACTATATATATAAATAGACTTGCGTATATACATACAGAGAGAGGACTTTTGGGTTTTGTATCACAAAAAGAAATGGACCCAGTTGTTCCTAACGACATAATCAATCGGCTTCTTGAAATGGTTGCACTTTGTATGAGTTAAATTGCATATTTTTATTGGGTTGTTTTCAACTTTTGATCAGTTAAGCAAAATCATCTTTTAAGTCTCAATTAATATGCTTCTTCTGATTAATTATCAAAAAATAAATAAAAAATATGCTGCTTCTGAAATTGTGTGGAAGTTGAAGATATATGGTTGGGTGTTACGATGATGCTCCTTTTGGAGGGATTTTTTTGCTCTTGGTATTATCACATTAATGTGTTATGTTAACTTCTTATATCTGACTTGCTCAATTGATTTTGAGAATTATGCTCTTGGTGCCAGTTATGGTATTTATTACATTCAATCCTAAAATTTGAGTAACAGAATATGGTTTTGGAAAACCTGTTCATACTATACAGAAATTCCTTCTTTCTGAGATTTTGTTGAAGATTGTCAGTGCTGCTGTTATTCTTTGCTTATTCAGCTCTGAAGTATGAACCCAAATACTTTGGACGTTGATTATAATATCAAGGCTGGTTTTTTATTTATTTAATTTTAAAGCTTAGACCTAACATGCAATGTTGTTTTATTTTGTGTGTTTTATATCACACATTCTCATTTATTTTACGTTTAGGTCTCTTTTGACTTGTTACTCTAGTAAAAAACACAAACTACTAAGTTTTTTATTCCAACAAGTGAGTTAAATTTCGTGCACAAAATAGTAAATAAATTGCATAAGGATATTTGGCCATATGTGTTATTAAATTCTATAGTAAAAGATTAAGGGTACGTTTTGGCCATATGTGTGTGGCTGATTCCGTTATGTCATGACTTATGCCCAATTCAGGCCCATGCCTGTTACACCGCGTCTGTATCTTCGAACCACGGTGGTGCTTGGTGTTCTTTTCCTTTTCCCTGCTCTTAATGATTCGATTGAAAATTTAATTGGTATGATCGATTTCAATTATTTCTTGGTTGCAACTTTATCCTTGTTCAAGTAGCTCTATATTCAGGTATGGTGATATCATGATCTATCAAGAGAATTTTAGTGCATGTGTGTGGTAGGTAGGTATAATTAGTTAACGTGTTTGACACTTTAATTTTTGTGGTGTTAGAATTGTTGATAAACAAAGAAACTTGTTAGTTTTAATTAATAAGTGATCAAACTGAGCCTCTGATACCACCTTTAGATTTAACAGAATGGTTAAATAAGATTCATGTAACTGAATTCAAACAGTTGGGATAAGATATCGTTGAGTGCTATTGTTCTTAATTTAACTTTTCTTGTAGACTGCGCGTATCGTAGTTCCAGATGAGTTCCATATGCATGCTTCAGTCACACTGTTAATCTGTTATGAGACTTACAAGCCCTGATTACGTGCTACGGGATTGTTCCAAGTCTGATGCTGTGGTTTTTTTTCCTGTCTGGCTTCAGTCACTTGAGATATGTCGTCCTATCAGACTTTTGATTTTGTGTATGGCCGTCATATTTTTGGTAATCCCTCACCCCTCTCAGCAAAAGTGCTTGGTGGAACTCCATTGGATTGTTTAGTTGCATGCTTGTTTTCTGTAGGCGGGCTGACATGAATGAGATGGATTTGAGGTCCGTCCTTGAGAACTTCTTCAGACCCGGGTATGTGTTATTATTTTGTCCATATATTAATAACATTTTTGACCCTAGTTTCCTTTTGCTTGTTGCAGCAACTTGACTTTGTAACCTACATGCGTAGGAAGAGATGATCGCGCCGTCTCAAATAGCTGCTTCCGAGGGTGCTGTCCCGGTTGATGGAACTGCTATTTTTCGCCCCATACTTGGCAAGAAAGGTCTGTTTATGGTGTAAAGCGCACTCCATCAAGTCACTGTAGTCGTGCAGAAGTGGAGGCAGCTAATAAAAGAGCCCGTGATAAGGAAGAGAAAGTTCGGAACACTGAAAAGATAGCTTCCGAGGCATTGCGAAGAAAGTCCGGAGCACTGAAAATATAGCTTCAGATGCATTACAAAGAGAGTAAGGATTTGAAGGAATTTTGGATGAGCATGGTGCACAATTTGTCAAATGGAAAGGGGCTTTCACCTTATTGGTAGGAGGCTTTTTTGCCATTCAACAAAAGATTTGGTGAAGACAGGAAGCTGTTTTAGCATCAAGACTCTGGTGTTCAAAGTTATAGTTGGTTTACTTGGACTCGTAACATCTTGTCTTTTTGTGTGGACCATGTTCTTGAATTGTACAAACATGCTCGTATCATTATTATTTATTTATTTATTTTGGAAGGTAACACATGCTCTGAAATTCAAAGCAATAAATTGTGTGGTTATACAAAATTCTTAAAATTCAGAATCATAAAAATTAAATAGGCTACATTTCAGATTGTTAATGAATACATTCACTCACATTTCAAAATTCATAGTTTTATGAAATTGTCATGTTCGTTGACTCGTTTCATAACGTACGACAGATTACTTGCTACCTTTATTCTAAGAGGGGCAAAATTAGAAATAATGCAACTTGTAAACGGTGTGATGCACATGAAGAAACAGTAAATCTCTTACTCTATCCCGCTCTCAAGTGGTCTGAAAGTTGAGTCCTCTTAGACTTAATTTCGAGAATACAAACAATAAACAATATGTTATGGCGAGACAATGGATTGAGTTCTTAAATGTTTGGAAGGACAGTATTACTTAAATGTGGAATTCTAATGTCCGTCTTTCACCACCCCTTCATATAAAAGTGGTAAAGTTTAATAGAACCGTAAATATTACAAGATCCATCATTGATCTTAGCGTTACTTATGTTTAACGGACAAGTTTGAAAATGAAGGCAATTAATATAAAATTTTAAATCAACCGAGAAGTTCACACAACAAAAAAAATAGAAGAAATAAAATAAGTTATAATGGAGATGAGGATGAAAACGACCCTTTCCAATTCTCCTAAATTAAAATTGAGAGGGTAATAAAAGAAGTTTTACGGTTGAACATAACTACTAACAAAAAAAAAATTAACATATATATATATATATATATATATATTATATAGAGGACTTTTCTTTCATATAAACAAATCGGGAAGAGCACCTAACCAGTCCAACATGCTCTCTTTTTTTTAAAAAAAATTGGTATTTACACACCTCCTGTCCTACCTTTGCGAAGTAGGAACCATATATGTTTATATACCAGTTATCATTTTTGCAGAAGTGCCCTTTTGATTACCACTTTCTTTTATAAACGATGGTGACCAAACATCGCATCAACAAATACGACCTATAACCTAAGTATTTCATGTTAGTCCATTGCAACCTGTCCGAAGAATAAAAATAGCCAACCAGCTTCAGGTGACTTTGTTTTACTTTTTATATATATACACACACACACATAGAGAGAGAGAGAGGAGCTGAACGATGATTAAAAGGAGTGTAATTGCCTCTTCAAAGTGTAGATATGGTGGTATCCGCAAGTCTGCAACTTCTCTTAAGCATTGTGTTAATTTCTTCATTGATTATCCATTTGCTTGCAACAATTTAAGGGCTTCGTTTCATTCCCAAACTGGTAATGATCAAAAACCTCACTTTACTTGTAGTCAAACCCGGTTCATGAAGTCTGTCAGAAATCAATTAAGATTTGAGTTCACAAACCTTGACGGTGCACTCGCACTGTTTGATAAAATGTCTCAAATGCGACCTCTTCCTTCAATTGGGCATTTTACTAAATTGTTAGGGGCCGTTGTGAGAATGAAACATTACACCACTGCAATTTCTTTACTTAATCAAATGGAATCCTCTGGAATGGTAGAGCCAGACGCTTATACTCTGGGCATCTTGATGAATTGCTACTGCCATTTGAATCGGGTCGATTTGGGTTTCTCTGTTCTGGGGAGAACTTTGAAGCTTGGTTATGAAGTGGATTGTACAATGCTCGACACTTTGATGAGGGGACTCTGCAGCGAGGATAAAATAGGTCTGGCAGTAGAGTTGTTTAATGACATGGGGGCAAAAGGATTTCGACCTGATAAAGTTACTTGTGGAACCATTATAGATGGGTTGTGAAAAACAGGGAACACCAGCGCAGCTATTGAATTGGTTAAGAAGATGGAAGAGAGAAATTGGGATGCACTTTGTAAGGAAGGGAAGCTTGAAGAATGGTTCTTATCGTAGTCCTTTTTGGTTGGTCGCATAGTTGAACTGTCAACCCTTAGCCGCGTCACTTATCCTGTTTGATGAATGGTTCCGGTTTAAAACAGCCCTCTCAGTTGTCAGTACAAGCCTTGTTGTACCCATAAATTGGGCCCTAGAAGTATAAGATTTGGTTAATTGGTTTAACTGAGAGGTTTTGTTGATAGTTCCAGACCAGGGTTCAACATGATATTTGAAAAGGACATAATATAGTTGGATTGTCTTGTGGAGTGATGAGTTCCAGGCGCTTCAGTCACACTGCTGCATGCCCTGATTGAGTGTTATAGATAATTCCAAGTCTGATGCTGTAGTTTTTTCTTTCTGGCTTCAGTCACTGAGATATGTCGTCCTTTGATTTTTGATTTAGTGTATGGGCGTGATATTTTTGGTAATCCCTCATCCGTCTCAGCTTGTAGAATCATCGACCCTTTTTCAAGTGAACTCTATCAAATGACATCAAGTTTCAGATTATTCATACAAGAAAGTAGCATAAATTTTGATAGGAAGATAGTGGCATAATGTAAACCCCAGTTTTAACAGGTATATTTTGTTTGAACCCTAGGTTCATTCATTTAATTGGGTGTGAATTTTGAGGTTAAGTGGGTGTAAGGTAGGGTGGCCATAGTTGTGCTATTTGTTTCTTATCTAACTAAGTTTCTATATCCTGAGGAATTTATGAACTTGCTACTGGTGTAGGCATGCCAAATTTAAGGTTTTTCAGGACTCAATGTGCCTCCTGCCTATGAAGGCCTACAATGTTACATGTTTACATGGGCTATGATATGTCTATCAGGTTGGGTGTGTGTCTAAGTGTGGGACCTACTTGGATTCCAAATCTTAGAATACGCAATGGCTTAAAATGTCTATAAAATAGTTATGTTTATGTGGAGGTGTCCTGTTTGTAGTATTATTTAAAATATTGTTCTTCAAGGATTAACTGAATCAGAATTTAAATCAAGTGTGATGTGGTAAAGAAAGGGTTAAGGGGGGTCCATGGAGCACATACTGACTAAATGTTTTCTGAAACCAGTCACGTGACTCCATAATCAGGTGAACAGTTGGGTAGGTCGTCTTATGTTCTAAAAAAACTGGCCGCAAGTGAACATTGTTATTAGGGGCGACCTTTTAGCATATGGAAATGCATAGTTAGCAGAGCCTTGGCTGAGGTTGTGATTAACCTGTTGACTTGTCTCTTACTTGTGTTACCACATTGCATATGATGGTTTCAAATGGCTGAAAATGTCTCTCCAATCTCTGCCTCTGTTGACCTCTGCTCTGGTTCTCAAGATCGTTGATGCCTAGAAAGATGAAGAAAAGAATGGAGCTTGCATTGGGCATTTGATCTATATAATTTTATAGCACTGCTAACAAGGGTCACCTGCTTGACAACCGTGAGAGGGGATATTGATTGATTTACACCAGGGAGGAATATCGATAGAGCTATTTACACCAAAAGGGTGGGTCACGGTGCAACAGTAAGGTTGTTCTATTGTGACCTAGAGGTCATGGGTTCGAAACTGGAAACTACCTCTCCACATGCGGAGCGGAGGTTATGTAAATCTGACACTCCCAGACCCTTCAATGCGGGAGCCTCGTATAGGGCATGACGGTGCAACTAAGCATGTGTGAATCTGAAACAAACTTTTGTCTTAATATACTTATCCTTCGATGAAACCTCTTCATTCATTTGACTAAATGATATCACAATTTGGGATGCAAGTGGGAGTTTAATCATGAAATCGTGCGAAGCTAGTGTTGAAGACAATTTTGTGTGATGCTTCTGACCAATAGACTCCAAAATTAAAGATTGACAAAGATTAGGAGAAAACAGGAGCGTGTTAAGGAGAGAATGAAATACACGTGTGTTAATTGTTATCAGGGAATCTCCGAATCAAATAAAAATTATGAGTAAACCAAAAATTGTTTCAACTAATACTGAAATTCATAAATAATTCACGAATCTTTTTCAGTTTACTCGGGTTGCATGCACTTCTGTGAAAATATCGGCCATACTGTGGACTACATTTTATATAAGCATTTTATTATCATGAATCAATTGGCTGTGGCTCCAATATCTGCTTAAAACTTCAGTGTGAAATTTGTGCATGTTCTGGAATTAAATTGGCTTTTGTTTTGTTAGTGTTATAATTTTCCTTTCCCCTTGGCAGCAGCAATGGATATACATATTACGCAGCTGGCTGATGAGTGATGACTTCACAAAAGTAAAACATGAAAGCGTTATTTATTAATGTACATTTTTCAGCTCTTTTTTTGTTAGTGTAAGGACATTATTCAGTATCTTTCTTCTGATGTTGTTCTTTTATAACACTCAGGTGACTTTCATGGTCAATATTTTGATCTTCTAAGTCTTTTCAAGTGTGGTGGATTTCCTCCTCAAGCTACTTATTTTTGGGGGATTACGTGGATTGGGTCAACCAGAGTCTAGAGACAGTATGCCTTCTCCTTGCATATAAAATAAAGTATCCTAGAATTTTTTTTCTCGAGGGGAAACCATGACTGTGTTTCAACTAACCATAAATATGGATTTTGTGATGAGTGTAAGAGAAGATTCAATGTTAGGTTATGGAAGGTCTTCCAAGATTGCTTTAACTGCCTACCAGTGGCAGCTCTAATCGATAAGAAGATTATCTGCATTCATGGGGTCTCTCTCCCGAGCTGTGTAGTTTGGACCAAATTCGACATTTACAATACCCAACTGATGTACCTAATGCTGGTTTTGCTGTGTGATCTTCTCTGGTCAGATCCCAGTAACGATGTTCAAGGTCGGGGGACGAATACTGTTTGCAGAGTTTCGTATACATTTGGTGCTGACAAGGTGACAGAGTTCGTACAAAAGCACGGCCTGGTTTTTATTGTCCGTGCTCACCAGGTTTGACCACCTATTATAGTTTATTCTCATTTGAGGTTTATGTTTACTGTATTACTAGTCGAACTGTTGAGAATTGTATCAATGTGAGGGATGGTAATGGGTCCCTGTTTAGGGTACTACGATTATATTATGGGAAACTTCTACTGTGTTGTACATATATATATATATATATATATACTGGAATATTGTGGAATTTTAGTAGTACGTTTGGTGCCCGTTGCTCCATTCAGTACAATTCTACGAATTGACAATGGTGGCTAAAGCCTTTTATTAAATTTTTATAAGGTATTTGCAAATCGGCTCATAACCATATTTTCAGCACCCAATTTTTGTGGGGAGTTTGACAATGCTGGCGCTATTATGAGTGTAGATGATACTCGTGATGGTCTCTTTTCAAAAATTTAATCCTGCAGAAAAGGGAGTCTGGAAACCTTCTTGCAGGAGTCGATGTTTTCGCAAGGACCACTACAACTAAACCAAGAAACTTTCCAACAGGAGTTAAGGTAAAGAAATCTTTGCCACTTCAAATATATAAATTGATGATTATCATTGGACTAGTGTCAAACTATAGACTACGCTAGAGTATTTTTTTTTTTTTCCTTCTAATTTTCCCAGTTTTTTCATCACAACTTTCAGATGGCATAAATGGAAGAATAATGATTCTCAAGCCTAAAACTCTAACCGGAAAGGCTAGCCAAGGGATTTCTATCCCTTGGATGAATTGGGTAAGACCAAAACTTCAATGTTATTTAATACATCCAATGGATAGAAATCTGTAGGCTAGCCTTCTGGGTTTAAGTTTTGGTTCTAAATAGCATTGGCCTTTTTGAAATACCTCAATGTTGAGCTGCTGGACGAAAAATGTATATTTTTTTTTAATTTTGTTGTTAAGCGGCAATTATTTACATTTTTCATTGCTGTCACCTCCATCAATTAATCCTCTTCCCGACACAAATAAGTCTTTGTCTATTGCATTTTAAATTGAAACTAGACATTCCGGTGCTGCAGATCATGTATAGGTAATTTTGGATAATTCTTTATGCAAAAGAAAATCCTTACCTTTATTAATATTGCATTGTGTCCATGAATATTTTATTAATTGTTGCATTTTTTAAATTTTTTTTTTTTTTTTGTATGCAGTAACTACTAGACAGTAAAAAATGGAGCAGAAATGAAGCCTATCATGCCAGTTGCAGAAGGCAGTTTGCTTGTGTAGGATCCAAATAGCGTTCATCATAATGTAAAAGTTACATAGGTAATGTGATTTTATTTGGCAAGTGGTCAATTACATTTAAAAAGTTCACATTTCTCTCTCCTCTTCTCTCAACTTGTCCATCTCCTTGACTTTGTGCTTTAGATATGTCATATATGTAATTGAACTGATTTATTGAATTTATTAACAAGATTAAAGGATACATAAATGATAGTTAACAATCTTTTATTAAAACTATTTTTTGTACTTCTTTTTTTTTTTTTTTTTTTTTGTTGTCCAGAAATGTTATTACATTATATTGATGAGAAATGATTAGAAGGAAAGCCTTGGGACAGTTGGGCTTTGGTTTGTTTAGGAGGGAAAAGGGGGTAAGTAAAAGAAATTAATTTTTTTAAGAGTTTTAGATAGAAAATGGAAAAAATTGGAGAAAATCGGTTTGGTTCGGATTTTCTTAGAACAATTTTCAAAAATGCAAAAAAGAGAAAATTGTGTTCAGGGAATTATTAAAGACAATTTTTAAAAATAAAAAAAAAAATTACATTTTTTTGTCAGAGTTTTTAGAAAACCATTTACAAAAATCCAACTAAATAAGCTTTTGTATAAATTTTTATTTTACATTTTTTAAAAACTAAATTTTATTTTACCTATGTAGCATGGACACGGATACGATACGACACGTATACGTCGACACGTCAAATTTTAAAAAAAGTAGGACACGACTATACATAAATATAAATTTTTTTTTTTATATATCTATTCAATAATAGTGTTATAAAATTTTAATTCATTTATAATTTATATACTAAGAGTTGCTATGAATTAATTAGAAAATGAAATTATATATATATATATATATATATATATATATATATATATATATCATTATTTAATTACTTTGTCAGGATAGTATTGATATTATTTTCAAGATTACTAGATAGACTTGTATTAGAAATGTCTGAAAGTGTGGCGAAGTGTCCGAAATAATAAAATTAATTTTTTTATGGACATGTATATGAAATGTTGGACATATATCCGAGGAGTGCAGTGTCTGACACGGATACGGCTCTTTCGTAAAAATGTCCATGCTTCTTAAGATTTGACTTACCCTTGCTTTGGAATTGGACTTTAAAAAAATAATAATAATTAAAATTAATTTTACTTATTATTATTATTATTATGTGCTAAGAGAAGGTTACAATATGGAATCAAAACAATCACTGCTTGCTAGGGCCATAATAGTCAGATATGCTCAACAACCGTTTAGTCACTGTATTAGCAACCTCATTGTCAAGTCGACAAACAAGACTAATGTGAGCTGTGGAAATAATAAAGAGTCACGTGTGATACTACACACAAGCTTTGGAAGAATTACTAGAATTATAGAGTCAAACCAAATTAAACCGATCAATTACGGTTTGATTCAGTTCTACTAGTTCTAAAGGTTCGGTTGGCCTATAATATTTATGAAACTGTAAAATTGGTTAGGTTTTGATTTATCTTAGAATTGAAACAAAATTAGAACAAACCGAACTTGTGTAGGCTCTTAATGCCTATAGAATTATTTAACTTTGTGTTAAAATCAAGTTTTAATAAGAATATGCGTGACTAAAGTTATTCTACGTTCTACTTTTCGAAAATTAGAAAAATAAAAGTTATTCTGAGTTTTGAGTTAAATTGACTTGGACAAGGGAAATTTAAAAAAAATAAATAAATAAAAAGAAGAAGAAGAAGAAGACTTGTTAAATAATTTTTTTTTTTACATGAGATTATAAGACAGTTATTCTAAGTTTTGAGTTAAATTGACTTGGACAATGAAAAAAAAAAAAGAAGAAGAAGAAAGAAGAAGAAGACTTGTTGAATAAATTTTTTCTTACATGACTGAGAAATTAGAATGTACCTCCAATATATTATTAAAAATGGTTAATTTCAATGATACCTCTCTAAGTTTAGTTAAATATCACATTGAAATATCTTTAAAAAATAACTATCACTTTCAGTACAAACATTTGGTCTTTTTTCACTTACACTCCAAAAGTTAATTGGGAGGCTGACGTGAGAAAAGCTAGGCCATAAAAGTTTTGGACTGCATGGATTGGAGGAATAGTGGAATGGACTGAATCCATGCCTGTGTCAATTGTGACTTGGTTTTACTAGCTTTCATTTCCTAACGTTGTCTCAAGACTCGTGGAACATTTTTTTATTTTCCAATTTATTTATTTCCTAAAAAAAAAAAAAAAAAGGTACAACAGTACAGCTTACCTTTGGTTGGCATTCAAATATACTTGAGACTTGGGTTAAGTGAATGTTCATCAATTGTGTTTTCTGTAGAAGACACACTGATCCTATTCTTTGGCTGTCAATTATGATGTAGGTCATGGTTCTTTACAAGCTCTAAAAATTGTTTTGGAAACAGGTTCCATCATCACTTAGGCCTCCAATGCTCTTGTGAGAAAATCTCTTAAGATCTTCATTGTTAGGCTAAGATTGGCTGGGTCAAGGGATACCACTGCTAACTGCAACAACCACATTATAAGACCATTTGAAACATCTTTGGCTGCTATTTCCATTGATATTGTCATTAGATGCTACACACTTCTCCTCTATGTTGTCACTGATATAAATATATATAATATATATTTTTTAGGCTGCGGTAGAGCACACAATGCCGTATGCACGGTAGGTCTGAGGTCGAATGTTATAAAAGACGTATCTTACTCTTACTTGGACACTAACTGATTTTTATTTTGTGGATTCATCTTGAAGATTGATTAGCCATTTGTTCTTCCATCTTCACACTAAAAGGTAGTGGAGATTTGGTTCATCGTTAAAGATTAAAAGTTCTTTAAGAGCCTTTAGTTAATACTTGTGTTTTTATCTTAAGTTTATTTTTGAGTAATACTACATAGTCCTATTTTTTTTTTTAAGGTAAAGAAGTTTCATTGTAAGAATTTTTATTCACAAGTCCGAGAGGTACTTTTCTTTATTTATTATTTATTAGAAACTTATACACTTATTTTGTTCCGGCCTCTTTAACATTTAATTATTAATATTATTATTATTATTTAGAGTAAATTTGTTCTTGTCTCTTTAACCTTTTATTATTATTATTATTATTATTATTTACAGTAAATCATACTAACGCCTTGTCAAGTTTACCGAATTGCTAAGGGAGTTGTTCTTCTAAATGCTGAAAAGCCTACACACAACAATACGTTAAAATTTTGAATAAAGTATCAATTTACCCTTAATTTTATATTAATGCTTATTTAATAAAAAATCTTACAACTAAATAACTAAAAAAACCCAATTCCCTTATTATTATTATTGCTATTTTTTTTTTTTAATTACCTTCACTGTCGATCTGAAAGACTGAAACGTGTCCCAAGAACAAAATAGCCAACCAGCTTCAGGTGACTTGTTTGATATATACACATCTGTGTGTGTGTGTGTGCGTGTGCGTGTGTGTGTGTGTATATATATATATATAGAGAGAGAGTGAGAGAGAGGAGCTGAAAGATGATGAAAAGAAGTGTCATTGCGGCCGCAAATTTTAGAAATGGTGGTGCTCTCTCTCTCCAGAAAGTTAGCTGTAAGTCGACAACTTCTCTTAAGCATTGTCTTATTTTCTTCATTCATTATCCCTTTGCTAGTGATAATTTAAGGGCTTCGTTTCATTCCCAAACTGGTCAAGATCAAACCCTCACAATATGAGTAGTAGAACCGGATTTATTAAGTCTCCGAGAAATCGAAGTCTGTTTGATTTTACCAACCTTGACGATGCACTCAAATTGTTTGATGAAATGTCTCAAATGCGACCTCTTCCTTCAATTGTGCATTTTACTAAATTGTTAGGGGCCATTGTGAGAATGAAACATTACACCTCTGCAATTTCTTTACTTAATCAGATGGAATCCTCAAGAATGGTAGAGCCAAACGAATATTCTCTGGGCATCTTGATGAATTGTTACTGCCATTTGAATCGGGTTGATTTGGGTTTCTCTGTTCTAGGGAGGACTTTGAAGCTTGGTTATGAAGTGAACTGTGTGATGCTCATCACTTTAATAAGGGGATTCTGTATCGTGGATAAAATAGGTCAGGCAGTAAAGTTGTTTAATGACATGGTGACAAAAGGATTTCGACCTGATATAGTTACTTGCGGAACGATTATAAATGGGTTTTGCAAAACAGGGAATGCTAGGGCTGCAATAGAGTTGGTTGAGAAGATGGAAGAGAGAAATTGGGAAACCAATGTCATTGTTTATAACATGATCATTGACGGTCTTTGTAAGGACAGACTGGTAGCTGAGGCTTTCCAACTCTTTTCAGAAATGATCCGTAAAGGGATTTCACCAACCGTTGTCACTTACAACTCCTTAATCCACGGCCTATGCAATTCAAACCAGTGGAAAGAGGCTACAAGGTTGTTGAATGAAATGGTGAACCGAAATATCAAACCGAATGTACAAACCTTCACTATTTTGGTGGATGCACTTTGTAAGGAAGGGAAGGTTACAGAAGCTGCAGAAATAGTTGAATTGATGATTCAAAGAGGCGAGGAGCCTAATACAGTCACGTACAGTGCACTGATGGATGGATATTGTTTGCAAAGCAAAATTCACGAGGCAAAGAAGATATTTGATTTGATGGTTACTAGGGGTTGTGCACCTAATATTCATAGCTATAACATCTTGATTAATGGGTACTGTAAGAAAAGAAGAATGGCTAAGGCTATAAGACTTTTTCATGAAATTTCTCAGATGGGATTGGTTCCTAATACTGTTACTTACACCACTCTTATGGGTGGTTTCTGCCATGCTGGAAAACCTCTAGCCGCGCAACAACTTCTGAATGAGATGCAAGCCCATGGCCAACATCCTAATCTTATGACCTACTCTACTTTGTTAGATGGATTGTGTAAGAACCAATGTCTTGCTGAGGCAATGGCCTTATTTCGAGAGATGGAAGAAAGTGGACTACATCCTAATATTGTGGTTTACAACATCCTTATTGATGGTATGTGCAAAGCTGGAAACATTAAAGGTGCAAGGGAATTCTTTTATGGTCTTTCTTCCAAAAGGTTGCAACTTGATGTTCACACATATAATATCATGATCAATGGACTTTGTAAGGGTGGGTTGTTAAGCGAAGCAAACATGTTGCTCAAGAAAACGGAAGAGAGTGGTTGCTCACCCAATGGTATCACTTATAATATAATTGTGCAGGGATTTCTTCGAAACAATGAGACGTTAAGGGCAATGCAACTCCTTCAAGAAATGGTTGAGAAAGGATTCTCTGCAGATGCATGTACTATGACCCTATTATTGAATTTGTCAAATAATAGTGGATTGGATGAGTCAGTTTTGGAGATGCTCAATAAGTTTCTGTGATCTATATTGGGTTTTCAAATATTAGGTAGAAGTTTCATGTTTTGTTGGCCTTGCAGTGTGGTGTATGTATGGCCTATTGATGCTTGCATCAGTGTCTTGTTCATGTTTCATGGGTGGAATTATTTTTCCATGAGAAGTATGAAGGAGAGAACCTTACATAGTTGGGTGATGTTTGGGAACTTGAGAATTATGCCGGAGGGATTTGTATGAAACTGGTTGATAGATGGGATAAGGAAGGTGGCTTGGAGATTCTGAAGAAAGCAAAGTTGCTGCTTAAGCATATAGGAATGATCCCAAAGAGAGGCAAGTTTACCAAACAGTGTATGCTTATCTGCTCTGCCTTTGTATGTAAGAATGTTTCAAGAATGGCACCTCATCAACTTCATTTTCCTTTCTTGATGTCAATATTATAACCATCCCATTAAGGGGAAGAAAAAAAAAGTTACCTCTTTCGAATCCATCAGACCTTTTAGATGTTATTTTCTTGTAAAATCAGAAGAAATTGTTTTGAATTCTCAGATTTATATTCAGGTGTTTATAGAAGTTGTTATTCGCACTTTCAGATATTTGATTCCATTATCTTAGCTCGCAAACGACACCGAATTAATGCTTTGGGTAGTGAATTTGTGGGAGAGTCACTTTCTCCTTTGGTATGCCAGAATAGTTGAATAGTTATAGGGTCATGTCATGCAACTGTCAACTGAGATTGGGGTGACTTCATAGCTAGACTTTTAGAATGTTTATATGGAATTGTTCTATAGCCAGTGTTTGGGATATTTATGCTAGTGTTGTGGGTAAAACCTGGCATATCAAAATGTTGAGTAGTTCTATTGGTCATGGTTTACAAAACATCCAGAATGTAGCAAATGACTTCATTTTAGGTTTCATTAAGCAAGTCCATTTGGAACTTTTTATTATTATTATTTTCTTGAAACATTGTCAAAATAAATCACAGCACAACAAAAACTTTTCTTCTGCTTCGTGTGATTTGAAAATACAAAATAGAAACTATTGCCAAACGAGCCCTAACTTTATCATTTGTGTTATAAAATTTATATATAGTAGCACTAATAGTGGAGTAGTTAGTACATAAACATAATAATTTTAAGGAAGGTGACAAAGTGTAGTTTCCTTGTTCTCATAACCGAGCATCTTTTCAAGTATGTCATGAAACTTAAACGGAGCTTAGTTCTTAATGTTGAATAAGTAAATACAGAAACTAGAAGATTCAATAAATAAATAAATAAAGAAACTAGGAGGCTCAATATAACTTTAAAGAGTGATATTTGAACGCTACAATTCTTGTAGATGTACCTCGTCTATGTTTTGGTTCCAAGGTTGGAGCCAGAAATTATATCCAAAGGGGGCACAATGCAGTAAATGTTTTTGAGGTAGGGCAATTTTAATTTTTTTTAAAGAATTATACATACAAAAATGAATTTTTTTAAAGCTGAGGGGGAAATTTTTAATTTTTTTTAAGAATTATACATACAGAAATGAAATTTTTTTAAGTTGGCATGGAGAAATTTTAAAACTTTAAAGAATTATATGTATAAAAATGAAATTTTTTAAAGTTGAGAAGGGACAAATTTAAAATTTTAAAGAATTGTATACAAAAATATAACTGGGTCCGTCCTTGTTTGGTTCTAGAATTGGAATATAAGGTACTCTCTGAATAACAGTAATCAAGAAGTTCTCAGTGTTGTAAGTAATTAAAAAACAATTTGGAGTAAATATAATTTAACATCTTCATTAAGGGTTTTGGTATCACAGTTACCATATGAAGCCTAATCCCATGATCGTCTTTGCATTTATCCCCTGTGAATGAATGATATTGGTTACATGAATTCTTTATTTTGTCATTATTTGCTCTCATGCATCTTGCATTCTCTTCGATTTTATTTTTTTAAAATTATTTTTAATTACTTCATTCTACATTAGTTTCGGTCGGCCTATTTTTTAATTACCTATTTGGCCAATAACTTTTCCTCTTTTAACTACTGCATGATTGAGTTTATGTTGAATTTGACTATAGTGTACCTAAATCTACTTTCTCCAATTTTATAATTTATAGGCTCTATACCTGGTGTTTATTCACATGTTCATTATTAATTTTATCATTTTTGTTACTTGTCGCATCCTTGTTTCCAAACTTGTGAAGTCTATTAACTTTCATAGCTAAAAATACAATATATATTAAGCTAATAACATTAAAAATTTTGCAACAAAATATATAAATTACTAGAGAATATGCTCATAATTTACAATATTAAGGGCTCGTTTGGCATACGATATGTTTTAGGGTCCTTTTGGCATACCATTGGAAATTTGCTTTAATTCCTCTCCACACTACCAAAACACACAATATTACCAATTTGGTGATATGGGTTCGGGTCAAAAAATCTAATATGTTATGAACTATATATTTTAAACCAAGATCAGCCCGTCCCAAACATGATATGAGCCCAAATTTAAAAACCAAAATTAGAAAAACAAAATCATAACACATTTCTAACAAACCCTAAATTCTTTGATTACACAATGCTGAAATATTTTTCACAAATACACTTTAGATGTTGAATGTATATATACAGGCTTTAAACGTGAAGATTTACTAGGCTTATCATTTACCTTTTTTTTTTTTTTTTTGTCATTGTTGTTGAAGGTGGTCTTTCTTGAAATAATTTTTTAGCTCGGTCAATACTTGTGATACCCCTCGGATCCGAGACATGAGTTGATCAGACCCAGGCCCAAACCCGAGAGAATATCAACCAATTAATATTTAACGAGCACAGAATACAAAATGGATTATTAAGAAATAAATAATAAATGGCTGACACGATTTCTAGTTGAAAATCCTCATAACATAATTATTAACGTCCAAACTCCAAAATAATTTCATAAAGTTAACAACTCGGGAATCCCTCAAATGGACCCCTAATAATAATAAAATCTCAAACTGGAAGGGAAAGAAAACTGTAATCTAAATCCAAAGCTAAATAAGATAGTAGTCCTATGTAGTCGGAGGAATGGAAGTCCGTATCTGCTCTGCACGATCAAGCTCTAACCCTGGAACCGACGAGCACCTGAAAAATAAAAGAGTGGGTCAGGCCCACATGCAAGTCCTATTCTACTACGATCCAAACAGAAATCCGATACGCAGATACATCCTAAATAGCTTAACAATATCTAGATTAGTCCATATATGTATATATTACACAATATAGGACGTTCACTAGCCCAATAGGTCTGTCTCAGCCTGAGTAGAGATACCATGCAAATCGCACATTACGTGGTCATATGTACCAAGACCTACCAGGGAACAACACTTATGTCCAGTTATCCATCCCAGGTGATATACGCACCCTAACCGTGGTCTTGAGACTCAAGCTTATACCATGGCATCATAACTTAAATATATAAAGTCCATATACTCCTAATACAAAATATCAACCATCGGGTATAATGGTCTGATATATGTATAACAATTCATCCAAAAACAACAGTAGGTCATTCAATTATTTTATTGACATGATACAAGTATGAGATGGACTTAACCTTTATAGTTAATCCATACCTCATTCCAGATTAGGTAGGACTTAGTATTTGAACTAATCCCTCCCTAGTATGCCACCGTCCCATACCAGTGCATACGATCCTCCAACAACATAATTGATAAAAATAACATTAAATAATTCATCAACAGTTCTCCGAAATATGCATTAGTATAGTTTGATACATATATAATGACATTAGACGTTCACTACAGAACCTAAAAATCATGTTCCAACTATTTAAACTGTTAAAATAAATCATAGCGTTTAAATCCTCCAAAATAGCCTATAAATTGATACAATTACAACAATTTAAGTATCAATTAAATCCAAACTAAGTATAGTTAATTATAGTTAATTCACCATACTTATGACACTGTAAAAAGATGATTATATATAATTAGATCATATATAAAAACCTTGCCAAGTTCCAGTAAGTAAAATTAACAAAACAGTGTGCAACCTACCTGCTTTTCCCTTAGGTTTTTCTTGCTCTATTCTTCAGTGCAAATATGAATTTATGTCTCCTCATAATTTTACAGGTCTACAATAGTCCCATACAACATTTAATAAACAAAGAAAAATACGCTGAAACAGTCAAAAAGCAGCCTAAAACCATTAAAACGCAAATTTGGAGCAAGAGCAGGCTCTCAACTTGTGAGAGCCTGCTCCTACACACTAGGAGCCGGCTCCCTAACATTGGGAGCCTGCTCTCATGAGCTAGGAGCTGGCTCCCTCCATGTGGGAGCCGGCTCTTGCCTTAAGAGAGCTAGCTCCCTCTTTTCCTGGAGTCTACTATCTCTCCCGAAGAGCCGTCTGTCCATTCCGCTTCGTCTTCCTCGCCTTCGGTGATTCCCAAGGCCTCTGTAATGTTTTTAATACTTGTTCTAGGGTCTAATCTTAGTCTCAGATTAATCCTGAACCATTGGTATACAACCACGACATGAATTAAACGCAACGTTTGAAAACAACGGCAGCAGGGTTTCAGTTAGAAATTCTTAAGCAACACAACACAGATAATTCAATGAAATTAAATACTATTTAAGCATGCATAATTGATGTGTTATAACATTCGTTTAATCCGTTTTAACATTTATTCAATCCCTGGAGTCTACCTAGGCATACACAGAACACAGATTTAAGGGAATTAGTATAACAGAGACTTGCCTTGAGTTTCAGTTTTGAAACTCTAATCCATCGTCTCTGAATTTTCCAACGAAATCCCCGACGGCTGTTCCACCTTTGTTGCTCCTAATTCAACCCACAAGCACAAGCATGCATAATTGATGTGTTATAACATTCGTTTAATCCGTTTTAACATTTATTCAATCCCTGGAGTCTACCTAGGCGTGCACAGAACACAGATTTAAGGGAAAGAGTAGAACAGAGACTTGCCTTGAGTTTCAGTTTTGAAACTCTAACCACCGTCTCTAAATTTTTCGACGAAATCCTCGATGGCTGTTCCACCTCTGTTGCTCCTAGTTCAACCCACAAGCACACGCCAAACTCCCCTCCTTGATTCAGTCCTAGCCTAAGGCAAAACCCTAGACTTCCTCCCTTTATCTCTCTCTGTATTTCTCTATATCTCGTTGTCTCTCTGTTTTACAGAATTATGCTTACATTTCTAAAACCCTAAACCACCGTAATGTGTATATTTATAAGCTCAGAACAATAAACCATAATCCGTGTATAACTATAGAACCTAGCTACAATTCTAATCGGCACAACATGAAACCTAAAACCCTAAATAATTAAACAGTTAAAATTAAAAAAATTTAAAAAAACACCTATTTAAAACAATTAAAATCATTAATGTAATTAATACAACTAGTCAACCAGTTACACGTCATTTAAAGTAATAAAATTAATTAATTAAAATAATACAAATAATTCAATAATTCAAATAATTAAAAAAAACAATAATTCAATAATTTAGCAAATAACCATTTAACCCATTAAGAATTCAAATAATC